CTTCTTTATCATCCATGCATATCTATTATGTTCCCTTTACAGAAGGATCTATGCTTGGCTAGATGTGTTCACCAAATTCAGTTTTTCTTCTTTCTACATGCATAGGTAGATCTAGCGTCCCTTCCAAACAGGTGTAGCCACTTAACTGCATTCTAGTCAATAGAAAACAAACACATCTGATATGTACCATTTCTAGGCCTGCCCCTAGAAATCTTTCATGTATTCTCTTTCATTCATTTCCCATCTACTGATCTGCTGCATATGAGCACAGTGGCTCTGTGAGCTACCTGATGAAGCCGGCAGAGTCAAATGATGGAGAAAGCCTGAGTCCCTTAACAGCTTCTTTGAAGAAAGCCACTTACCAATCATTAACACCTATTTTAACTTCATTTGAGCAAGAGATGAACTTCTATCATTTTTAGGCCATTAAAGTTTTTGGATATATTTGTTTCAAAAACTAGCATTACAAATACAAGGCTCATGCAAGCACATGTCACTAGCACAAATTTCAGAATCATAATTTGATTCTATGTCTTTTAAGTCAAAATTCTTTCTATTATGCCAGTCTTACAGAAATTTTTTTAAAAAATCCACATTGCTATGGTAAAGACTTTGTTTTAGCCTAAATTGTTTCAAATTCTTACCCCACCAGGATTTGAATTCATCAGCAATAAGGGCTCTCTGTCATCTCCAAAATGTGTCAGGTATCTCGTTATTTATTCATTCAGGACTAGTCTCCCCTATCCCAATTATCTGGTCTAAAATTTCTGCCCATGCATGAAGCACAAAAGGTAACATCCAGTCAAGATTTCTCAAGTATTCCCTGGGGAAACCATTTCTGTAGGATGTTAATAGGTTTGGTACTCAAATAAAATGTGCCATGGTAAAGTACATTTGGGAAATTATAAACCAAATGAAGTGAAAAGTGTCCTGTCTGTAGGAATATCCTTTTAGAGTATATTATGTCCTGAGATTCTTCAAAACAGGGGCAAATCTGCAGCATTTTACAAACTTATTTGATGACAGAACCCATTCCGGAAGATCATCTCAGGAAACAAGTGTTCCATACTATACACTTTAAGAAACACAAACACAAGTATATTGGGCTATACCTATAACTGTTGGTGCTTGAAGGTGGATCTGTACATCTTTGAAATTAGACCCCTGCCTAAGGAAACTTTGGTTCTGGTTGCAATTCTCTGTATATGCAGTCTATTTCTGACATCGGAACATGATTATGCCTTGAGCTTGGTCTGAACTGAGCCTTTGTTTTATCCTTTAGTTTACTTCAGGGCCTAACAACAGACTGTATTTTGTGGAACTGAGTCTTCCAACCTATCTTCTTTTAAAAAAATCATTGTTAGGGTCACTGCTGTGGCACAGCAAGTTAAAGCCACGGCCTGCAGCGCTGGCTTCCCATATGGGCGCTGGTTGGAGACCCAGCTGTTCCACTTCCAATCCAGCTCTCTGCTATGGCCTGGAAAAGCAGGACAAGATGGCCCAAGTCCTTGGGCCCCTATGCCCATGTAGGAGAAACTCCTGGCTCTTGGCTTAGAATCAGTTCAGTTCAGACCATTGTGGTCATCTGGGAAGTGATCCAGCGAATGGAAGATCTCTCTCGCTGTCGCTCTAGCTCTCACTCTACCTCTCTCTTTCTCTGGCTCTACCTCTCTCTGTAACTCTTTCAAATAAATAAAATAAATCTTTAAAAAAAATATTGTTAGGGAGGGAGGGAGGCAGGGAGGGAGGGAGATCCCAGCCAAAAGCCTGCATCAGCCATGGCTACACCAAGGCTGGAGCTGGGATCTGTGGATGCAACCTGCATTTCCCAGGTGGCTGACAGGACCCTATTACTTGAGCCATCACTGCTAACTCCCAGGATCTACACTGGTGGGAAGCTTGAGTCAGGAGCCAGAGCTGGGAACCAAACCCAGGCACTTCAATGTGGGACACAGGCATCCCAACTGCTAGGCTCAACACCCACTCTCCCTTTGTATATCTTGTTGCTGCCCTACCTTGACAGAACTCTATTATTTCTCTTCATTAGTTGGGTGTGTATATTATAGTATTAATGCTCAATTCTATCAAACACCCCAAATAAAGGATGGGGGCCAATATTAGTGGCATAATAGAATATCTCTTGCTAACCTAGTTAAATAGCAATATATATATATATATATATATATATATATATATATATATATATAAAATACAGTGGAGTTACATTCCATGGGCATTTATAGTATGTGAATTCTTGGTACCATGGCCTCCAGATAGTCGGAAAAAGTTGAAATATGAAGTACTTAGATTTTATGTTAAGAAATGCCATTACTGGAGATTTCGTGTAATTTAAAACTTGGGTAATTGAAAGTTAATTTTTCCATACAACTTGAGAGGGAAGCAGGTACTTTTTCCCCCTAGCTCTAGCTAAAATGTGGCACCACCATGGGCTATAGCAAAAGCATGGTCCCTAACTCACCTGGACTTCCAGTTTTAAAACTGTGATTGGTAATATAAAAATTAAAAAATGTTTCCTAGTATTTCAAATGCTACCAATCACATGAAATTTGATATTTTTATATTCTTTCAGATTTGTACAATTTTATATTTATTATACAGTAGAGTGGTTGTTTTATCTACTATCCCACTCTATTTAGTTTTTTTTAGGCGTTTTATTTCTTTCCTTCCTGTGTGTCTTTCATAGTACAAAATATCACTCTCTCCTATAAATGCAAACTGTTTAATCTGGCCTCACTCCCCAAAAAAACTGCAATCTATTGAGTGTTAGAATAACAGCTATACTGAATTTACTGAAAGTTGTTAATGTCATTATCCAAAATGCCATGTAGTCTTAAGAGACTTTAAAGGTAATTTTGAAGATACAGGACTCTTACGTTTATACTGCCAACTTTAGAACTTTACTTCTGATATAAGATGTGATTACTTGAAGGCAATGGGCATTACTGATTGCCAACCCAGCAACCACTACCTTTTTTCTTCTTTATTACCAAAAACTCATTTTGTTCAGGGAGCTATGCCTTCACATGTCTAAAGGGATTGTCAGGGCTCCCACCCACTTTGTCAGTATCTGTTGTAGGATTGATCAGTAACCCACTCTGCTCAATAAAATAACAGAAATCTGTTAGCGAACTTTTAGAAAGATTTTCCTGATTCTTAGAAAGGAACAGAGTCAGTGATAATCCCTCTTCTTCCTGAGCTGCTTGTTGACTTTTGATGTGACTCCAACAGCTGTTGTCATCTTACTATCCGTCCTCTGAGGATTGTCAGCATCAAGAGTGGAGAAAGGTGAACTGTGATGTTTTGAAAATGTTGCTTAGTTCCTGAATCAAGCAATCCTAAAATTTCTCAGTCCTTTGTTAGATAATGGTTTAGTTAGCTCTGTCTATACTACCATAACAAAATACCAAGGACTGGATGGCTTAAACAACAGAAATTTCTCAGTTTTTGAGGCTGAGAAGTTCGTGGTCAAAAGGCTGGTTGATTCGGTTCCTAATGAGGGTTCTCTTCTCAGTTAGCAGACAGCTGCCTTCTCGTTTGGTCCTCACAGAGCTTTTCCTTGTCCTGTGTGAGCCCGGACAGAGAGACTTTCTCTGTTGCCGTTCTTATAAAACCACCGATCCTGGCGGGTTAGGACTCCACCCTTATGGTCACATTCAGTCTTAATTACCTCCTAAAAGCTCTCTCTCCAAATACAACCACATTGGGATTGGGGTTTCAACATATGAATTTGGGGGAGACAAAGTTCATTCCAAAATAGATAATATAACAAATGTCCTTATGTGGTTTGTACAAATGTAGATTGTTTTTCCCCTTACATACAGCTGAATACATCCTGAAATTTGTCATGTCTATGAAACAATAGACATAGGATAATGTCTAATTTGCAATATATTGCATGAGCAGACCAGGGGTTATTTTCCTTTTCTTCGAACAAAGCAGTTGTAGAGTTAAAAATGGTTAATCCACTGCTGTTAGGGCATTTCATGAGCTGATGATTGGACATACATGTGGTATCATGGTAACATAAACAGTCTAGCCCTTAGGGAGTTTTAAGTTATAAAAGAAACATTTTTCTAAGATCATGTGCTCTGATACAAAAACCATACTCCAGCCCAGTTCTATCATTATAGAGTTATGGAAAGCCAAGAAATGTTAGTTGGTGATTTTATCAAGCAGAACCTCTAACTAATGGCTTGATGAAACCATCACTACACGATAAAATACTGCAGCACACTGAAATGGTGATTCCTTTCAAGAGGTTAGTCATTTTAGATCAGTACAGTTTATTAAGAAAAGCAGTACCTTAGAGTCACCACAGTCTTACACGTAAGAATACACTTTCACCGTTTTGCTTGAAATGAATCAGTTATGTTTTTCTTACAACTCAAAATCTAATATTTATGACTGTCTTTAAAAAAAGGTGGAGTGCATCCTAGTGAAGCTCTCATGAAACATTTTACCTATAATTTTAGTTATACTGTATACAAAGTACTTTTGATATATTTTTCCATATGAAATGTAAATATACAATAAATGATCTTGAAGTGAAGGATTTTCATAAACAATAAAATTCACCTTTTATTTCTAGCAGGGGATGTGGAAGAGCAGAACTTTCCAAGTTTAAAAAGCCCAAAGCAAATAAAAACTCCACCAAGAAACAAATGATGAGAGATATACTTGCATATAGATAGATCTATATTAAAATAATGGAACCTGGGCCATTTTGAAATCTTAATCCTTCTGACACTATTTTCCTGAGCTCACTAATACAAACCATGTGGTGAATGATTTTCTGGAAAACTTTGCTAGTTTCACTATGTATTTTATTACTGGGCAAATGTGACATTAAATTTTATCCCCTGTGGCTTGGAGTTAAATGCTTGCTCTGTTCAGAATGGCAACACTCAATTAAACAGCATTTTTCATGATCTACACCCACCATTGTTACTGTATTTAAGGGAAATAATGGGGGTACTGACCTATATTGCGCTTCTTATTATCAATGGAGATGAAGCGTATGCAGGGATTACTGGTGATGTACTGCCCAGCCCATGGGACATCAATCTTCGTGCCAGCTTCATAAAAGAGGCCCAGAGCATAGCGAGAGGAGTAGCTCACGGACTCCAGTTGCTTCCTTTGGCATTCGCTAATTACTGTGGAAGAGAAAATAAAGGGCATCAAACTTGAAAATATCATCTTTCCTTTTAGTACATCAAATACAAAACTCTTTTAAGCAAGTTCCAATTCCTTCCACTAACTCCATCTCACTCAGCTCTAATTTCTTTTTAGAATGATCACTAACATCAGCACAATTGTTTTAAATCTAGCTGAAGGTCCAGACATTTTAGACTGGCATTCAGGGCTCTCAAATTTGCTTTTCTATTCTGGTATCCTAGTTACTGTCCTGGGACCATTTGGCAGCATTACAGATTTTTTTATACTGACCACATGCTATGATCAAGGTCTTTGCTACATCCTTCTAAGGTCGAGTGTGATTTCCATACTACAAGTGAGGAAACCAATGCTCCATTTGTTATTACCTCTTAAATCCTTCCATGTCATAGAGTGATTTGTTTTCCTGTCATCTTTCTGCCAGTACATTCTAATAGTTCCTTAAGCAGTGAGACCACACCATTGGCATCTCTGTTATAGGCCACTAGCTTATCATTATAGGTGCACAGAGGATAAAACTATAAAGAGACAGAAAGGCAAACACAAACATGTACAATATGTTGAAATGTAGAAGATAGTGGATTAATTAACAAGTGGAAAAGAACTTGGAAAAGGAATTGGGCAGCTTTTGGTTCAAATCCTGACTCTGCCACTTACTATGTATGGTAACATTGGTCAGCCTACTAACTTACTCTTAGTATAGCTTTCTTGCCTGTGAGTGGTGATAATACTACAGAATGCATACATGTGTTGTGAAAATTACATGAAATAACACATAGGACAGTAGTTTGCACATGCTAAGTGTTTATTGAGAGTAACTTTTTCCATTAGACAGGAAATTATTTAGGCAAATGGGACACTGTTCCATCCTTGGGTGGAGAAGGAAGAGATTTTCCCTATTCTTTAATATCCATCGCCAGTCCTTCTACCGTTAAGGTTTCAGGGAACTGCTTATTCATCTGTGGACAGCATTAAAAACTTGGGTTTCAGAGAAGGCCATAGTTCCATCCTGAAAACTTCAACTAATTCATGTGTACAGAACATAAGGGAAATCCTAGTGAGAAATAGCATTAAGCTAAAACAGTAGGGATAAGGAGACCTCAAAGACAGGGGACAACTTCAGCTATGCTTTAGAGAAGTGGCTTTAGGAGGTAGGGAGAAGCAGGGAGGGTAGTCACCTAATCATTTAAAGATAGTAATAATCATAAATACTTATTAGAGCTAAAAATATTTAGAACTACAGCTATAAAGCTTTAAAAAAAAAAAAAAACCTAGGACCTCATTTAATCTTCAAAAAAGTCCTGCCAAGAAACATCTTTTTACCATCTTTGACATCCCAGGAAGGTGAGGTTCAGAGAGGTTAAATAACTTGCCCTGGGTTACACAGCTTGCAAGCTGTGCTATTAAGATGAATCCAGGGCCGGCGCTGCGGCTCAACAGGCTAATCCTCCACCTTGCAGCGCTGGCACACCGGTTTCTAGTCCTGGTCGGGGCACTGGATTCTGTCCCGGTTGCCCCTCTTCCAGGCCAGCTCTCTGCTGTGGCCCGGGAGTGCAGTGGAGGATGGCCCAAGTGCCTGGGCCCTGCACCCGCATGGGAGACCAGGAGAAGCACCTGGCTCCTGCCTTTGGGACAGCGTGGTGCACCGGCTGCATCATGGCGGCCATTGGAGGGTGAACCAACAGCAAAAGGAAGACCTTTCTCTCTCACTGTCCACTCTGCCTGTCAAAAAATAAAAAAAAAGATGAATCCATAGTTCCTGCCTTGTAGTCATGCACGTATCTGCATTCCCCCATACTTTTCCCTTCTGATCTGCAAGTCTGAGCTCCAAAATGAACTTCTACATTGCTTTTTCTTCTAACTTTAATGGTTATTTTTACTTTCAGAAAGTAAAAAGCCCTCATTCCCCATCGTGGGTTTTTTTCTTTGCTTGTTTTTTGTATGACCAGGCAGAGTGGACAGTGAGAGGAGAGGCCAGGGAGAAAAGGTCTTCCTTTGCCGTTGGTTCACCCTCCAATGGCTGCCGCGGCCGGTGCGCTGCGGCCCGCGCACCGCGCTGATCCGATGGCAGGAGCCAGGAGCCAGGTGCTTTTCCTGGTCTCCCATGGGGTGCAGGGCCCAAGCACCTGGGCCATCCTCCACTGCACTCCCTGGCCACAGCAGAGAGCTGGCCTGGAAGAGGGGCAACCGGGACAGAATCCGGCGCCCCGACCGGGACTAGAACCCGGTGTGCCGGCGCCGCTAGGTGGAGGATTAGCCTAGTGAGCCGCGGCGCCGGCTGCCATCATTCCTTTTGACCATTGTTTCCTGCCTTATTAAAAGCTTTAACTACCTGATGAACAAATGATCTTGTGACATTGGCCTGACTACACTGAATGGATTTATGGATTTGGGAAGTCTCATTATTTAATGTGATTTTAAGTTATGGTTGATGTTATGCTTACTGTTTCCTGAATGTGAACAATACGAGAGTGTGTATCACAAAGCTTCCCATTTTTAAAAATTAAAAAACAACAAAACATAAAACCTCAAACTAACCAATGAAAATGTTTAGTCAGCTATTTAAGAGCTGAAAAGGCCTAAGAGCTTTCTTTTTTTTTTTTTTTTTTAAACAAAAAAACTGAAAGGTCAACTAGGTTGACCACCAGATTGGAATTTTCTCTCCCTCCACAACCATGTTTGCACATTTAGCTAGTTTTCAGACAAACTGCCAAGAGGTAAATCCCACTGGATAGCCTCTTGGAAAGGTAATTGATATCTGTATGGAAACAGCAATTAACCTTAAACACCCATCTACTTGGAGGTCTCTACAATTCATTCTGAGAACAGGGAAGTGCGACTTCTGACTGAAACAACCTCAATTTCTGCAGAAATTCACTTAGAAACTGTTCATCTCGGGGACCTGAAAAGTGTTTGTGCAATGCAGACAGGACCTAACAAAATGGTCTTACACTGTTTGAAAATGTTTCTCATGCAAAATGCTGAAGGGAACAGCCCCAGGTTCTAAACAGATACATTTTAGCAAGCAAAACAATAGATTCTTTGCTATAATGTATTCAGAAACGACATATGTCCCTAAAGCATGACTTATATAAAAATCCCTGATCCCAATATAATAAATCTTTTCTTGGATATTATGCTCATTTAATTCTGAACCAACAGGATTATATAAGTTCTAATTATGTATATTTATAATCTATAATTATATATTGCATATGTGTGAGACATTTATGTACTACTAATTTCAATATGTATCACAATATATGCTTATGTAATATAAAATATATATGACTGATGTTAGTAGAGTAGCGAAAAATGGTGGTGAACACAGTTTACATTCATATTGCTATTAGAATTATTTGTGTTTCATTTTCTTTATGATTGTGTATTTATGTGTATGTGGGGGTGTGTGTGTGTATATTTCAAGTGCATATGTATGTGTGTGTGCTTGTGTGGTTTTGGGGGAGGTGAAGAAGGGAGTGGAGGATCTAGTGAGAGGAGGGGGGCGGAGAGAAAAACAGCAGACCTGGGATGTGCTCCTGAGGAACACCAAGTAAGTAACTTGATTTTCTTTTAGTTTCCTAAGCTAAAAAAGAAGGTTAATAATACATGTTCTATCCACTTATTCTTCTTCTTATTATTTTTTTTTTTTTTGACAGGCAGAGTGGACAGTGAGAGAGAGAGAGACAGAGAGAAAGGTCTTCTTTTGCCGTTGATTCACCCTCCAATGGCCGCCATGGCCGGCACACCGCGCTGATCCGATGGCGGGAGCCAGGTACCTATCCTGGTCTCCCATGGGGTGCAGGGCCCAAGCACTTGGGCCATCCTCCACTGCACTCCCAGGCCACAGCAGAGAGCTGGCCTGGAAGAGGGGCAACCGGGACAGAATCTGGCACCCTGACCGGGACTAGAACCTGGTGTGCCAGCGCCGCTAGGCAGGGGATTAGCCTGTTGAGCCGTGGTGCCGGCCCACTGCTTATTATTTTTTGGTGACAACCTCATCTACCCACTCATCCATCTATCCATTGCCTACCTATACCAGGGATTCTCCTAAATATTAGGGGTGTAAATCAGAAAGACAAAGGCCCTGCTCTCATGCAGCTTTCATACCAATAGTAGACAGGACAAATTATAAATAAATAACCAAGTAAATGTATTTCAATTACAATTTCAGAGCAATACTGAAAAATAAAGCAGAGTAAAGGGTTAAGTGACAGATGTGGGTGAGACTATTTAATATAGGCTGTTAGGGATATCTGTTTCCTCTGAAGATTTTACTCTGATTCACATGGAAAACTAGTAGGGGTTAAGAGCTGAGGAGAGATATGACCTGGCTTCTCTTAAAAATGATCATTCTGGCTATAGGTGAAGACTATTGGGATACAAGAGTGGAACCTGGGTAAAAGCTACTAACAGTTGCAGTGGCCTTGGATTTGAGGTAACAGTAGAGGAAGTCAGAAGCGGCTATATTATGGATGGAATATGTGTGTGTGTGCTTACGTACGTAGATGTACATGTATGCATATTGTTAAGCAGAAATTATGAGAGAACATTGATATGCACTGAACTCTTGTACTAGGCAAGGGCAGACCTATTCCAAATAGAGTCACTCATACTAAAGTTCTGTGTCACCAAGTCAAAACCTAAGCCACTTATTTTCAATAACTGACCTTCTGATAAATCAGGAGAGAGATGACAGCCTGACCCCCAAACAGGCCAGTTTTCTAGGAAATAGGAGATTCACAGCAACCAGTCAAAATGGTCTCGGTCTGAGATGGCATGAGAAGGAAGACCCCTTACTTTAACCTACACAAGGAAAGAAACCTGAAACAACCAGATCCTAATCAATCCACCTTTTTTAAAAAAAGATTTATTTATTTATTTGAAAGAGTTAGAGATGGAGAAGCAGAGAGAGAGAGAGAGAGAGGTCTTCCATCCGCTGGTTCACTCCCCAATTGGCCACAACAGCCGGAGTTGCGCC